TGCTTATATTGTCACAATATTTTCGCTTTTCAATGCGCCGCTCGAAAGCACAAGTGAAATATTTGCCCATGTGGCATTTTAGTTTGGCAAGGAGCCCTCTTCCATTTTCTTCGTTTTTTATTCTATGGCTTTTTGTTCGCGCTCCCTCTGTGCTGAAATCGGCACAAATGCAACTTTTGATTTATTCAGCCGCTCATCGATCGCTTTAAGGTTTTTTTTTTCTCTTCCATAGAAGAGCCTGCATGTGCGAAGTAAATCTCATCATTTGCTATGCACTGTCGTCGTTTATTTCCATCCGACTGCCATGTAATTTTCACATTTTTACTCATCAACGCCAACGTCATCTCCATGGGATGGCTTGCCACGAGGCCTCCTTCTCCCAGCGCCCATTGTGTGGGCGTGGCATGCCGGCAACAGCGGTAGCAGCAGCAACAATAACCACGGCTGCAACACAGCAGATGCTGCCTGCAACTGCGGCTTTTGTGTGTGAAGGAAGTAGGTTAGTGGCTCACTCGTCAGCCAAATGAATGATGGAGTAACTGCGGCAAACTGTGGCTGAAAAGTTCCCATTCTCCTCGGTTTTTTTCATTTTTATCCCGGGCAATTGTATGGTTAATTGAAATAAGAGATAGGTAGAATAAAAAAAGTGAAAGCACGAAAGGGGGCAATCCCTTTGGCTCAGGTGTGGTCATTAAATGGGGCATGTGTGCGCACTGTTTATAAGTACTAACCTGGTTTTGGTAGGCTGCTCTGGCTCCGGATACTGCGTCTCCTCGACTTTGATGTGATTCAAACCCGTGGTGTTTGAATACTCCATGGATTGCCGGCCCTCCAAGGGGCTGGCTGTTTTTCCGAACTGTCACTAAAATACATTTAAGCAGTTGCACCACTAATTCCAGGCAAACAAAATGTATTGCAAGCCTTCGATGTGAAAGTACCCCAATCGCCTTTTGCGCTGCGCCTAAAAGATGCCACTTTATTTTTCACTTTCACTGCACAACGTTGATGTGTGTGAGTTTGTGTGAAGGCGGATTTAATTTTCAAAGCTCTGAGTTTTTCTTTAAATGTATATTTGTTTTACGTTTGCACTGGAGAATCCATCCGGATTTATTGGATGTCTTTCTGGCTGAGGGAGAATCCTTGCGGAAATGCTCTTGCCGTTTGGCTGGCTGCCGTCATAACTGGCGTGGAATACTGTAAATCGGCTTTTGGCCACTGCAGTTTTGCCGTTTTTCCGTTTTAGCCCGTGCGGAGACCGAGCGACCAGCCTCTGGGCCCGAAAAGCGCCGACGACTACGACTACGACAGCGACAGGACGACGGCGACAACAAAATGCAGCAAAAACTTTTTAAAGCTGCAGCAGCAACAGCAACAAAAAAGGACCTGGCACAGGATGTGAGGCAAGAGCGAGCCAGCAAAACAATCACATGGCTCAGTGCAAGCTTGCCGCAGCAACAACATTATGGCCCGAATAAAGCGATGCCGCAAAAACATAAACAGAGAGCCACAAGCCGGTGAGAGCCGTGCCAAAAAGAGAGTGCGGAGAAAGGCAGAGAACTACTAATCCAAAACGTATGCCTAAATAAATTTTAAAAATGATATTGTTACTTAAAAATATAAGCCATTTCAAAAAACAAAATATGCACAACCTTTTCGAAATTAAGTGAAAACGCAGGTGTAAATAGTAGTTTTTTAAAAATGTAAATCATGACTAAAATAGAAAACAAAAGTATAAGTAAAAAAAAAGAAAAGTTCAGAAAAATAATAAAAAAAACCATACACAAATAATAATCAAAGTACAAATATTTTTTGAAAAATAATGTTATTGTAAAAACTTTCTAAAATAAAAGGGATTTTTTTCTTTTAAATTGTGCATTAAAATGCATTTCACTACATTATTTTTAAACTGTGAAACGCAAACGATTTAAAACGTTTTTAACTAAATACAAAATACAATGATTAATTATATTTTTAATAAGCTTTTTAAAATAATTTTGGATAATAATAAAGCAAATAAAATCCTTTACGTTCTTCTAAACCATTTTTCAGAACGGGTTAAAAAAATATCACTGTCAATTTTTACGGGCAGAAAAAATACAAAATCAATATTATTTCCAGTAGTTTCCGCAAAAGTAAACATTTCACATAATAAATATAAAATTATTTTTAAGCAAAAGCAATAATTCGTCTCCTCTCGCAGCGCATTTCTCACGCCGGCGCTCTCTTCTCGAATCGCAAAGTTTACTCTGCCCACGCGAGCTGCACAACATCGCGTGCATGCGATGGAAACCAGGTCAGGGCCGCCTTGCTCACGTTACCCAACCCCGACCCGCGGCGCTCCTGCATCGCCACCCACTCCGGCGGAAAGCTCCCGTCTTGTTTTGCTTCTCAGCGAACAAGCTCTATGGATTAAAGCTCTCAATTGTGCACCCGTAAGTGGTACTGCCTCTAGATCATACACAGTGCATTTAATTAATTAGTAACAAATATATTTCTGTATAAATACGATCCTAAAGGTTATCGAACTTAAAATGTACGACAAAATCGAGCACCCGCAATAAACATCGACGGAAAATCATGAGTAGGGAACAGTGAGACACAGAAACATAAATTCTAGACAGAGCAGTTGCATTTGTTTGCCATTTCGGTTCGGTTTTCGGTTAGGCTCAGTTAGACAAAGATAACACAAGTAGTAATTACAATTAGTTGGCAAAACGAAGGTTTCTCAAGGCACATTTTGGCTCGGCAAATATTGATATTGCTCCTTCTTCTCTTCAGCGCCTCATCTTCTCCAGAATGGGCACCACCATGTCGAATTTGGGCCGCTTGCCAGGATCCTCGTTCATGCAAATACCGATCAGCTTGGACATGTGCGACGAGGTGCCGGGCGGAATTTTTACCCGCAGTCCCTCCAGCGCAATCTTCATGCCGCACTCCATTGGGGTCCACTCGGCGAAGGGCACCTCGCGCGTGGTCAGCTCCCAAATAAGTATGGCAAAGCTCCACATGTCGCAAGCCTCCCAGTTTCGATCCGCCTGCTTGCGCTGCAGTGCCTCGGGCGACATCCAGGCTGGCTGGTAGATGCGTCCTTTCTCCTGGAACGAGAATTTCGCGTCGCCCATGTTGATCCGGGCAGTCAGATCCTCGTCGATCATCACGTGATGGCTGTTCAGGTGATACGTGGGTATGATACGCTCCAGCGAGTGCAGGAAGGCCATTCCGCGGGCAACGTCCAAGGCAAAGCTAACCGCCTGGCTGGTGTCGACCACCACGCCAGTGGCTCCATGGAGCAGACTAAACAGTGACGAGCGTGGCATGAACTTTGGAGGAAAGAGTAGTTATGTTAGGTTTTAATATGATCACAAGTTTTTTTAAACCAACTCACCTGACTAATTGTCACCAAATTAGGCGGCGAGTTACAAGCCCCTATTATAGGCAAAATGTTGGGATGCGAGAAGATGCGCAGCTTGGGGAACTCCTCGTTGAAATCCCTCGATATACGCGGCGTGCACTGGCGCACGGCTAGAATCTTAGCCACCACATCGTTCTTTTGCCAGCGTCCTCGCCAGGTTTCTCCTGATGCCGTAACAGAGAGCTTGGTGTGCAGGTCCAAGTCTCCCATGCTGATGCCCTTAAAGCGGGATAGGGTAGCATCCCTTGACCTAGTCTTCATGCCCTGCCAGCTCTGCTCCTTGAAGCTGATCACCTTCACCTCCCTGCCGCTCTTCTCCACCAGATCGTGCAGCCTCTTGGCCAAGCTGGGCTTGGCTTTCTCGATGGGTGTGTGCCCGTCCTTGTTGGCGATTCCCACCTGGGCTCCCGCGTTCAGCAGATCCTCGCAGATCATGTCGTAGCCCCAGAAGCAGGCGTAGTGCAGGGGTGTGTTGCCATACTCGTTCACCGCGTTTACATCGCTGCGCTCTTTTATCAACTGAAGTGGGAGATTTATGTTTGTTAAAAAGATTGCTGGTTGGGTACGTTATCTTACCATCTGAACCACATCGCGATGGCCGTGAGCCGCTGCCAAATGGAGTGGGATGTCGTCGCCCATGTTAGTGGCATTTACCCGAGCTCCACGCTGCAGCAAAGTCTCCACCAGCTTGGCGTGCCCCTCCTTGGCCACCCAGTGCAACGGACTGAAGCCATGGTCGTCTCTAAAAAAGAACAAAATTATAAGACATGCCAGGTGTTTGATTTAAAGAGATGTTTTCAATAATAAAAGAATACATATATATTTTGATGATTAAGAGGGATCGATTTGTATAGTAGATCTGAAATATTGCCCTTCAATCGTTTCAAAATACAAATATAAGTTTTTTTTTTAAGATCATGAGCTTATGATCCTTATCTAGAAATAATGTACTTGGAATACGAGATTATATGGCATGGAAATATTTAGAATTCAAAGGCAATCTTTGTGTGGGAAGCGGGTTTTATGCTCGCGATATGCACACATACAAATATATAAATAATTTTTGATGCGTCTGTTTACACAACACAAGAATAAATCATGACGTCACTGAGAGTCGAAAGACCCTCGAAAAGTTGGGCGTATTAAAGGCGATGACTAAATGGGGGCTTCTGGGAAGGGAACTTGCTCCTCGAGGCGATAACTTCTTAGTAGCACTTACTAAGCAATTAGACAAAGCCCAAAATCTTAGTTAGTTACTTGTTTTAGTTTTACCCCAAATTGTTGTCGTTTTCAGTTTCATCTAACCAGAGGCGCACTTGAATCGAGTTGCCCTCGCGGCACCAGTGGAATATGTCTTCCATTGTTACTCCTCACGCCTTTATTCCGCTTTCAGTCACTGTTTTTAAAGGTTTTTCAACCTAAATTACATCTATAAACGGCTAAAAACTTTAAAAATGCGACAGTTGGGAGAATTTCTATTTAGAAAATTTTAGCAGTGTGACCGTTTGAAATACCGACCAACGGTTCGCGTTGCCAACTATCGATAGGGGCAGATTTAACTATCGATATAAGGCGTACTAAGTGAATGCCCAAATTGGAAAGAAAAAGAAGGAATACAACGTGCGCCGCAAAGATTTTATTTGAAAACAGTTGTATTTGTCTGAATTACTGGTCTAAATAAAAGATTTTAAAGCTAAAAAATGAAACTTAGCACCTACAACTTCCTTACCTCGATGGCCATCAAGGGTGTGAAAGTTGGTTTCCCCCTGAAACTGACGGTGAGTACTGGAGCCTGGTGTGCCTGCTATTGATTGTTTCATAGAATTTATTTTCATTATTTATGTTTCCACAGATAAACAAAAAAGATGTGGTGGAAAGTGAGTTTAATCCCACATTTGTGGAGCGAATTCTTCCAAAATTGGACTGGTCAGCGGTTTATGGAGCTGCTCAGGTGGTGAGTAGGATGGATTCTATGCCCTTTGGCTACTGGACAGTTTTCCAAAATAGTTAAAACCTTTAAAATATTCTAAATTTACTAAAAGAATTACAAAATTATTTAAAGGACTTTTTTAGTCTTTTCTAAGAAACATGGTTTTTCTCTTAACGTGATTTGCATTGTATTTCTATATTTAGAAATTATCATATATATAATTTTAGAAACCACAAACCTTTTTATGGTAATATTATCAACCTTTTAATAATACAATTTTTCAAACATGTGGCAGTGTGTTTACCTCATAATAATAAAAAGAACCACTATTAAATGTTCCTTAATATTCCTTTTTCCAGGCGGAACTCACAGAAGACATACCCGCCGTGCAGCCGGAGAACATTGGCGAGAATGAGGTACTCCTTCAGAAGCTGCACCATCTGCTCTTCGAGATCGACGTGCTCGAGGGTCAACTGGAGTGCCCAGAAACAGGACGGGTGTTTCCCATCACCGATGGCATACCCAACATGCTCCTCAACGAGGACGAAGTCTAGATCAACCCATTAATGTTTTTCTGTAACATAATTCCCTCTCCAAAACCACATTAATATTAAGTAAGTTTGTTAGTTTTAAAGTCAGTTTATTTACGAGTTACTAAAAAATAATTGGAGCTTGGATGGAATATGTTTTTTTTTTTTTTGGGGTGTTGAGATCTACGTACTCGTGGTTTGGGAAAGAGCAAAAAACACTTTACGACACATACAAATGGTAAGTCTGAAACTTTTGGAGGGTGGTGCTTGGCTAGTTACTAAGATTCATCTCCTTTTCTTTGGCACTCTGGGGGAGATTCGAGATTGCGCACTACCGCCTAGTTGCATTTGATGTTGGGACTCTTGTTGCTGCCTTGGGCGTAGATGCTACCCTTGGCCAATCCAGACTGAGCTCCTTTGCAGAGCTCCGAATTCCCGCCCCGGGGCTTGTAGCTCCGCTCTGCCAAAAGACCGGCATCTGGTCCTTGAGTAGCTTGCTTTTGGATCAACTTGGTATTGGGTCCATTCCAGGTGACATAGTCGGCTCTGCAAAGAATAATATAAGAAAAGCCATTCAATTTTAATATATTCTTCTTTAAAGTTTTAAAATAAAATTTTAAATGTAGTTTTTTAGAAAATGGAAATGACTTAAAAATTATTTAAGAAAATAGGGATATTATGATCACGTTATTCTTCAAAGATTTGACACAAAATCATCATATTGAAATATCAAAAAGCTAACTATATTTCCAAATATTAAAATTTAATCGTGGTTTAGAAATAGGTGGCTTCTAATTCTTTAAAATCTCCTTTAACTACTTACAGCAATAGATTTTCATCTGCGCCCTTGCTAAGCTGCGAATTGGGTCCCAAACTGGCCATTCGTTCGATGATAGACTGAAATTCAGCTGACTCCGAGTTGTGGGAGTTGCCAAAGCCCAAGGATTGCTGGCGGTGTCTGTTAGAGAAAGTAAATATTTAATATTACACGTGATAAAGCTTAAAGAGAATATTAGCTTTAGGCATGCCAAAAAATAAGAGTAAAGAGTTTAAAAAAATCGGTCAAAACTGGATTCCCTGCTATAATCCATGCGAAATCCTGAAAAACGCATGCGCAAACGACTGATTTTGAATCTACTTAGCGAAACGGTAACGGAAACGGTTGAAGTTAACGGTATCGGGTTTAGCGGGCGGGCATACTTCAGTGAATCGGTTTTGGTGCGAGCGCGACTTTCGAATGCTGGCCTCCTCGCGATGGATGAGGAGTTGGACTGGGCCGACGAGGCCAGCGATGAGGACGTCATTGATGCGGAGTAGGAGGAGTAGGAGCTAGCATTCGAGGAGCCATGCAGGTAGCCGCCGATGCTGTAGTTGTTAGAATCGCTGTGGCCAAAGTGGTTATAGCCGCTCTTGGCCAGGATGCTCTTGGTGGTCAGGCGCTCGTAGCTTTTCTGGCGGATGCAGGGTGATTGTGCGGGTGAGGCATATGAATGCGATGAGGATGCACTCGATATGGATGACAGATGGGTCTCCAGCTTCTCCTCCATTGTGGGTGTGGACGTGGGCGTGGCCTGGGCCAAAATGATCTGGGTGGTGAACGTCGACGGTGTGGTGACATTGATCGATGGCATTATGTGGCGCTTGTGCGGTGGCTTCGTTTTGGATGCGGATGAGGTGGCGGGCTCCACCACAGTGAGCAGGCTGGATGATCGAGTGGCGCAAAGCAAGCGGACAGTGTGGATTTCGATTTTTTTTTTTGGTTCGGGGTTTTAGTCAGAGGCGGCAACAAAAGTTCACATAGAAAATAGGCAGTCGATTAACAAACGGATAAAGCAGCGGGCCAAAGAGAGAAACAACATGGTTTGAGTGGGTGGGAAAAGCAGGTGGAAAAGCAACCACGACCTTGGCGATGATCGTTTGGCTTGCGAGTGGGAAAAAGGTAAAGTCAAAAGCTACCTGTCTCCGGTGGCACCATCCACCTGTTCGGTTCCCGTGATCTTGGTCAGCTCCAGATGTTTGGGATTCGAGGAGGTCTGCTTCTGAGCCCTCTGCTCATCCTCGTCCTGCACGATCTGCAGGATCTGGGTGGCCCGATCCTCGGCATAGTTCACCGACTCCAAAGCCATCAGTATAATGCGCTCGGCAATTTCTGGATACTTCTCCTTGAGCAAAGTTTGCACTGCGAATTAAAAAGTAGTTAGATGAGAATAAAGTACTTTAATTCCACTCACTTTTGGTCTTCTCCTCCTCTGTATATTCCTTGGGTCTCAGCGGAATGTGGATAGTACCCTGATCCCCGCCTGCCTTCTGATCTTGACTCAACTCCGGAGGACGATTATTAGGTCTATGTGGCTGCTGCATCTCGCGTTTTGTATAGCCCAAAGATATCAACTTCTCCGAGGCAAACTGCACATTGTTATCCGAATTGGCCAGGATATCCAAGAGAAGCTCCTCATCCGCCTTGGGAAATATGTTTTTCATGTATCTATGGGGAAAGTGAGGGTTTTAAACAAGCTTTTCTAATTTCTAGTTAGGTTAAACCGAGAGAAATAAAAAATACTTCATATTTGCTTGCAACATTTAGATTCTGAATAATTGTAGCTTTCGAGAGTTATCTTAGGTGTTGGAAAGGATATTCTTCAAGTTCGATTAGATATATAATGAATATAATGTCCTAATTAGCAACTAGTTAACAAGGTACTTGTGGGCACTTTCTTGGACGGACATTGTCAATATCATATTGGTAAAATAAGAGATGATAAACATTATAACATTTTTAGTTTAATAAACTTAAAACTGTTCTAACATATTTGGAAATGCTCAAGGTAAAATTGGCAAATGTTTTGGATATATTGACGTCAAATTAGTAATCTCCTAATTCCCTTAAGCTGTAAATAAGAGGTCCCTTAAAAGCTGTGATTTTATAATTATTTTTCTTAAGGGCGTTGTGTTTTGTATGCGTGGGGCAGAAGTCTTGGAAATATATTCCTTATTAGGAAATTAAAACTCGTCGACAAAGAAACAAGAGGTAGTTTTTCTATACCGATTCTGAAATAATGTATTATTAGCGGACAACACTCTCTTAAGCGGACAACTTAGCGGACAACAATCCAAATCAAATCGAGGATCTACTCTATGTATTATTCCCCTAAATGTAAACCCCGCCGAACCTCAGTTTCATTTTGGGCGACGAGTGCGGTCTGGGCGAGCTGCGCCACTGGGGCGATCCGTGCAGAGCAGGCGCAACAGCTGACCCCGGAGGCAGGGTTACTTGGTGGCCAGGACCTCCAGGACCACCTGGGCCGCTCTGCACGCTCACGAGACTACCGAAGCGTCCGCCGGGCAAGGGACTGGCCGTGCGCGAGGTGCGACGACTAGCCACCGTGTCCGGACGACGCGCCGGTGGGGTCATGTAGAAGGCGGAGCTGCTGTGGAAGAGGTGCCGCTGCGAGGGGGGCGTCACGAAGGGACCCGGCATGGTCACCGGGTGCTTCTCCACCTGCAGGGCGCTGATGACGACGGCCTCGCTATTATAGTAGCTGTGGGTTCGTGGGTTAGTAAGCGTGGGATTAGTGGTAATTCGTGGGGTTAGACAGGTGCAGTAAGCAGCGTTAGGCAGCGTGTGAGAAGACAGAGATGTAAGTACGCAGATTAGTGGGGATTAGCAGACTTGGACGGAAGCTTTGGCCAGAAACTACCACCAGTTTTTCTTACCGCTTGAGCAAAAGCCGTATATGATTCTCGCCAGCGGTGGGAAACATGTTCTGGATCTTGGTCACCACGGCATCTGTTTCCGCTTGGGTGGTGAACGAGGTCTCCTGGATGGTGGAACGCCGAGAGAGATTCGGACCCAGGCGAGCTCGTTGAAAGGGTAAGGGTGAAGACATTTCCTGTGGGTTTAGGAGATAAATAATAACTAAGTTTCACTTTTAAAACAATCTTATATTTTGATAAATCTCAGTTTTTATACCCGTTACTCGTAGAGTAAAAGGGTATATTGTATTCGTGCAAAAGTATGTAACAGCTAGAAGGAAGCGTTTCCGACACTATAAAGTATATATATTCTTGATTAGGATCACAAGCCGAGTCGATTTAGCCATGTCCGTCTGTCCGTCTGTCCGTCTGTCTGTCCGTCTGTCTGTCCGTCTGTCTGTCCGTCTGTCTGTCCGTATGAACGCTGAGATCTCGGAAACTAAAAAAGCTAGAAGATTGGCATTTTGCATGTAGATTTTAGAAGTTCCTACGCAGCGCAAGTTTGTTTCAAAATGGTGCCACCCCCTTTAACGCCCACAATCGCTTATATACGATTTTAAAAATTTAAATATTTCGAAAAAGTAAAAATGCAGTTTTATTGTGTTTATCAATACCTATCGAAATGTAGAAGAAATTTTTCAAATCGGACCATTCGTTAAAAGTTATGCGTGATCAAAGTTTCTATCTCCCTCGCCTCCCTTTAGCTGAGTAAGGTATCTGATAGTCGGACTATGCGTTTTCTTGTTTTAGGATTAGTATGTGTGGTTTGTCACAAGCTCACACAAGCAAGTCACATTCGTTAAAATACCAGAAACAGTGTTCAATGTTTAATCTTTACTTGTTCATAAAAGGCCATTAAAAAAAAAACTAATACTGAACAGAATACAACTTTTTAACTTTTTAAAGGTACTCTTTAAAAATTCACATAACTTTGTGAAGGCTTCAACTCACACGTTGAGGTATATAAATCAATAGGCGTTCAAATAAATAATAATTTTTTATTAGGTAGACGCCGAATTATAATGTTTTAACTTAAATAATTTCAAGCAGCTTTACTTATGGTTTCGTTAGAAGTTTCTGTGGGACATTTAAAAAATTTGTATGGAAATATCTACTTGTATACACTTTAATTGACGTTCCATAATGTTCTATGCTTTTCTGGAGCGCTCCCACACCAGATTTCAGCTAATAAGCCATTTGAACGACAAATATGGTTGCGGTTTCTGGGCTACAATAATATTTAGAAAGCTTACCAATTGTCCCCTGGAGGAGGCCGATAGTAGTGGACTGGTCGAGACGTTCTGCAGCGTGGGTTGCTGGCGCTCTTGGAAGGCCCGAATCGCGGTCAAGTTGTTGCTGGGATGGACGTGGTACGGCGAGCTGTTGTGCGACGTCTGCG